AGCTCCACTATCCACAATCCAACTGTTTTCTTCTATATTATCCAGTAGAGAGAAACCAAAATGGTTAATGTTACCTGAGAAGTCTGAGGGATATGAATAAGAGGATGAGTCTGCTTGTTGGTTAGACATGTATTTGGCAATCTCCTTCTGTAACAACGAGCTGATATCACCAAAAGGTCTAAGAGACTGTTGCTTTTCATTTTCAGTTTCAGTTGTTTTCCCAGTTACACTTTGATCATCCACCATATTTGCAAGTTGACCATATTTTTTATTTTTAAACTCTTTGTACCACTCAGGATAGCCATTCAGTTTAAAACACCCTTGGATTTCATGTCCATTGTACCCACAGTGTTCACAGTACAATTTTGCCCTTTCTTCCTTGGAGAGTCTGAGTTGACCTATTCCTCTACCTCCATTGTTACTGTTCTGACCAAAACCGCATCTCCCCAAAGATCCTCTTCCAAAATTTCCCATGCCTGCGTTTCCTCTACCAAAGTTTCCATACTTCCACCTCCTCTTCCATATGCACCTTTTGCCAACATAACTGAGCTATCCAACCCTTCTGCACTAGGTTATTAACAGATTTCTGTTTCTCCACCTTCAAAATCATAGAATATGCCCTATTTATGGTAGACAATGGCTCCATGACCAATATTTTGTTCTTCACCGGCTCAAATACATCATTCAGTCCCATGAGGAATTGCATTAGTTTAGTTTCTGAACATGATCACTATAGGCCTTTTCAGCACCACAATTACACTCAGGTAAGGCTACTATGCAGGCATATTCGTCCCAAAAGTATTTCAGTTTAGTATAGTAGCTTGTGACTGAGAGATTACCTTGTGCAAAGTTCGAAATCTCCTTTCTAAGCTGATATCGGAGAGGTCCATTACATTCTCCGTATCTCTCTGCAAGCTCATCCCACAGCTGCTTCGCAGTCTTAATATACATAAAAGCCTGAACGATTTCCGTCGAGATTGAATTTAAAAGCCATGAAATCACCATGAATTCAACCTTTTGATATTGTTCATAATCTTCTGAATTTGAATCGGGAACAGTCACTGTACCATATATGAAACCTAGTTTTGACTTAGCTCCGAGTGCTAACCTTATTGCATGGCTCCAATGAAGGTAATTAGATGCGGTGAGCGGGAAGCTCACTAGCACCATTCCTGGATTGTCTGGGCTCTGTAACAGTAGAGGATCCGATTCACGCGTGTATCTGGCAATGATGGTTGTTTCTCCATGGCGCGCCATTGTTTAGCCTGCTCTAGTACCATGTGAAGATGAAGAACTCAAAACATTTTGGGGCCAAATTTTCTGTAGTATTTCTAGTAATGAAAAACGTACAAAAAGCATGAAGAAGAAGCTCGATATAAATGATCGAGCTAAGAGGTCATAATGACCAATTACAATCAGATACGTGCCCTAATAAGATTCCCAACTAAAACACAAAACAAGAGTAACGCTTTTGTAAGTAACAAAAGCGATTTGAAAGAGAACAGAAAACAGAAAAATAAAGCGAGCTATTCCATGCAGTACAAAGTAAAATAAGAAAAAGATAAATGATAACATGAGAACAACATCTCAACAGAATTGAATTGGGGGAATGAAAAATATGATAAAAGAAAAATTGAGTTAAAAGAATATTTTAGTATTATCACATGTCAAAATGACTAAAAAATATCTTTTTTTTTTTTTTGAAAAAGTGGCCAAAAATTGTGTTTTGTAAAATTTTATGGCTATTTAATGGGATTAACACTATTTTTTAAGTAGCAATGTGTAATCATGTTGGAATATCACTTGTGAGTGTCCCACATTGCTTCTATAGGGAAAATGAGTCTAGTATATAAGCCTAGTGGGCTACTCCTCCTATTACCAATTGGTTTTGGAATGGAACCTCACTAAGGTGCATCTAGGCTCAGTGGCTCACCCTCTTATGGTGCGCCTTCATCTGGTGGGACCGCACTCTCTTCCCCCGTTTCTAATATGGTATCAGAGCGGGCCTGTCCTAGGACCTGCAATGACTATTTGTACCCGGCCTACTCTGGGCTTGGGCTTATCTCTCTACCCGGCCTGCTATGTGGGCTTGGGCTTACGAAGGACTCACAAGTGAGGGGGCGGCTACTCCTCCTATTACCAATTGGTTTTGGGATGGAACCTCACTAAGGTGCATCTAGGCTCACCCTCTTATGGTGTGCCTTCATCTGGTGGGACCGCACTCTCTTCCCCCGTTTCTAATAAATCACGAGTGTTTTAATATTAAGTATTTAGTGCAATTAACCCTACTTTACATTTGCGTATTTCTCCCGAGAGTATACCAACACTCTCTATAGTCAACTCTCCTCTGATTCACACACACACACACACACACACACAAATTAAAAAAAATCCTCACACACACACACACACAAATTAAAAAAAAAAATCCTCTGATGTATATTTGGAAAAGAAGCATGAGCAAGGTTGCAGGTTGGTGGTCCGATAATGACAAGAGAGTATTTGTTGATTTTGTTTTACCACATTCAAATCAAATGCATATTAGTTAGATCTATTTATCACTTGTCTTCTCTTTTTTGTTAATGGCGTCTTTTTGGGGTTCAGATCCACCGTCCGAGGAATTCTAGAGCGAGCCCAAGTCCGCCGCCGACACCCTATCACCCGCTGGAGTTGTAAGAAACTTCTACAAAACTGATATTTTTTTTGTAATTGAACCTTAATTGAGTGTGTGTACTGTTCTGAGCTGACTTACGTTACATATGTGTGTGTGTGTGTGTGTGTGTCTGTACTGTGTGAGCTGACTTAAGAATGAAACGAAAAGGTGTTTCTTGAATCACTTTGTTTCAGACTAGAGAACATATGGTTAAATGTTGCAAGTTCTTAGACACAGTTAATCACAAGAAATCTTTTAATTGATGTGCAGGTGGCCGGCCACAGTCACACTCCATGCTATTATTTCAGGAAGAGGTTTAGGTTAGCAAGTATAGAGTCCCTTCCCAAAGATTTATTATTGGACATCATTGCTCGTCTCCCACCTCAAGATATCCGGGTCCCGGTAGGGCTCGTTTGCCGCAAGTGGTACCATTTGACCCATAGCCCTGACTTGATACAAACGCAAATCTTCCGTGCAACTTCCGGGCTCCTCTTACACTATACGTTTTTACGCAAGGAATTGATTTTTATCTCGATGCGGCAGGGCCGGGTCGAGAAATCCATGTGCCGCTACGAACTTGGTCATTTAATCTGGGCCAGCTGTAATGGCCTGCTTTTGGGATTCTTAAATGAAGATCATTATTCTGTGCGCATCCTGAATCCCGCAACCAAGCAATGCTTCACCCTGCCTCCATTTTCCAAGATACGTTATGCATCTCTTCTTCCTGCTATGGCGTATGTGTCGGCCTCCATGAAGTATAAAGTGGTTCTACGCGATTTCGTGGATGGAAGCAATGGTGTAAGGAATCTTGAATGTCTTATATTAACTGTTGGTGTCGATACCACCTGGAGGCATGTCCACACCAAACACTTGTCTCTTAATAGGAACCAACTTTCATGTGCCTTTAAGCCGTTGATCACTGATGGTTTTGTGCATTGGGTCTGGGATTCGTGCACCTCTATTTTCTCTCTCGATGTGGAGACTGAAATTATTTCCAACTCAGAGGTCCCCCTTCCTCGAGTTCACAGAAACAAGAGACGCTTTTATCTGTCAACAGGAAGGTATCTATCTTTATTGGTCGCCCTTGGGAATTTCTCGTGGCAAGTTTGGCAGATAAAACCAGAAACTGGGGAGTGGCTCAAGGTATTTAACATTGATTTGGAAGCTGAAAAATGGAAGCTCGATGTATTTTTCGGAGATTGTGAAGACAAGATAGGCCAAGGGGTTTGGCTCATTCCGGTTGGTTGGCTGAATTACCCAGATGTTCTCGTCCTTGCTCCTCCCAATACAAGTTGCGATTGCATTTTGTACAAAGTTTGTACACGTGAGGTCCACTCTGTAGAGTTACCGTATCCCGCTAGACATTCTCTTATTATAAACCATAATAATTGTATGGCCTCCGTCCCCGGAGGCTAAACATTGAGCTTATTTTGCTGTATTTCTTAATCGCAATATCCCTCGACTACATGACTATGGCTTTCTGTGCCTAACATCGATGATTTGTTTAGCTTTGGTTTGTTCAACTTTGGCCAATGCATCTAATAAAATATGAGAACTGTTAGACTCAATATCATGTTTAATTTATTGGCGTTGCCTTCACGTTTGTTTCTTTTCTAAATACTTCCTGTCGTCCAAGTATAGTTTTGTCTCTATGATTGTCCTAATGAATTTTATTTGTACCTATCCCTCCTAAGCTACCATCAATTTGCTTGTGCTGTTTTAAAGTTCTGTTTTACAATTTTTTGCGCTCTTTTGGTTTTTTTTTTTTTTTTTTT